TAAATGAATGAATGAGCGTTTTGGCAAATGACAGTAAAAAAAATACCATCATTAAGTAAATTACAAGGAGGAGAAGTGAAACTGAGAAGTGTTTTGGATCTAACTGCAGATGTTTCAATAAGGTCAGGATTCATTTTCCACTTCCACGAGTGTGCTCGGGTCCACAGATGGTTTCTGACTTACTCTTTGTTACTCCGGGAATTAAAGGCCTTGTGCTGATAAATATCACAGCTCTTCCATTGCCCAGGTGTAGCTAATAATATATAGCTTCGTAAGTTTTTTATGAACTTAACTCTTCAAAGGCCGCTCATCGAAATACTTGGTGACGAGTGTGAAGCAGCAGGAAGGAGAATTAGCCCCTCCCCCTCACCTGTCAGGTATCGGGGAGGTGTTTGAAGCAAACTGAAGCAAAAGGAAATCAAAATTAAGGCCATGAGTGTTCTCTTTTATACCTGAATGACACCATGACCGTTACAACAATGTAATAATATGTACTTGAGTATTGTGTGTATTTAGTTTCTTCTAGCACATCTCAGCCTCTCCCCCTGCCCGTCTCTGCTCCAGCTGACAAATCAAAGGTGAAAAAAGACGTTTGTAATGAAAGATTGTACATTTATTTCCTGATGCAACAGCTACAGGAGGAACACATAATACTAGTTTTTAGAGGTATTACAAAGTTCTTGGACCTCATTGTTCAAACATTGTACTCTGCAGTATAGTTTGGTTTTTTTCTACTGTCTGTTTGTTCATACAGGTACTACACATGACCCAGCTGCAGTTAAAATGGCCTGGTGTTTTCACATAGGAAGCATCATTCTTCTTGCTTTCGATCTTCTGGGGAGACTAACAGCCTCCACCACTACCTCAGACACCAGACTGCACTCATATGTTTGTCCCTTATAGAACTGGATTTCCTGGATATGCTCCAAATTGCTCAGATTGGACTGGTTTTCACTTTTTGAAGGATCCACTTCACTGACCATGTTCCTCACCCTTCATTTTAAGGATTTCTTTCTAGTCAGTTTCTAATCGTTCATTCATAGAAAACCCCAGAGCTGCTTCTCATGGGCTTGCACTGGCCCTCCACAATGAGAGGTCTTTCTCCCTACGCTAACATATTCAGTGAATGGTTTAGCTGATCTGTTTAACAGTGAGATTATTGTGTGAGTCGTGGCCTAGAGGAGTGCAGAGAGAATGAGGACATTTACCTCCCTGATGTCCCACACGAGGACACAACACGGCCATGTCTGAAGCTTCGGTTAGACAGCACGCCATTAATTGTGCTGCCATGAAAAGGTCTGTGTGGCTTTTAATTTGCATTCAGTCCATCAGGATCAATACGTCGCTGCTCTGGGCTACAGGCTGACATAGACCTGCATTAGAACAACACTGCGTCTGCTTCCATTAAACAGTGATTGACGTAAAGGTTGGAGACCACGGTGCCGCAGAAAAGTCACAGAGAGCGAGGGACGAGTGTAAACATCCCTCGTGTGAGCTTTAGCTTCTGTTTGTGTGGCTTTAATCTGACTACAGTGGGCCGATGATCTAAGTAGTGACAAACGGTCAGTGTGCTGCCCTCAACAGTGTTTGATCCAGGACAGCACTTTAGCGCATGTCCACCCAGCATGCACCGGAAAATGTCCACTATGGATGATGGTATGTAGGAGGAGGTCACATCAGGCTGCAACACAATCTATCTGTGGCCTTGAGTGTGCGCTGTTATGTAGTGATAGAGGATAGTGGGCGGAGCTTCTTTGATGCCTCACAATGTCCAGAGAACAGTCTGTATGACAGCAGGTGTGACACAGGAGCAGTTAATGTGAACACCTGTAGCTCTCGTGGAGCACACCGACACGCGGACGCTCTCATGACGCCACGCTAACATGTTGTTGTTGTTTTAGGCTGTTCCCAAACACAGTCAAGTGGAAGCTGCAGAGGTTTTTATCACTTTTAGTGGAAAACAAATGTATATATGAACAGAAATTAGGCCCGTGTTTGCCTCATAATGCTTGCCGTGTCTGCGGCGGTCCTGCCTTGTTTAGCATGCCACCCACTCACCACCACCTCTCCTCCCTCGTCATGCATAGCTGGGCTGGTGGGTGTAAAAATAGCCGGGTTGGAGGGGGTGGAATACGAGGGGTTGTTAGTCAATGCTCATTGAGTTGGATCCTCTAATGAGGAAACAGTAGCTCTCTGCTGCCTGTACTTACAGGCGTCCAGTCGAGTGGTGCAACCAGGACAGGACAGGTCCCTGCTGGATGGTAGCCTGTAAGCTTTTAGGGGGAGGGGGGACGGGGATTATCAAAGTGATTAACTCACTTAGAGTCCTTTACATTCTGATGAAACAGACTTATATACGTTGAACCATGGGCAACACAGCCGTGTGTAAGGTGTGCGGCTCAGACAAGGGCCTGAGGACCACTGGGAGCCCGGCTCAGCTGGACCAGAATGCTTTGCCAGACTTCTACTGCATGGAGCATTTTCCTGTGCAGCGTCCTGTGATCCTGGTAAGAGCTCACACTGACAGGCGCAGTACACGCTGACAGGACGCTCCTGCAGCGCTTTGTTTCAGAGGTGTTTCAGGAGATTCAGGTAACTTTATGAAGCACTCAGAAGTTTATTTTGGTCTCTGTCAGGATTCTTTGTTGCTACCAATGCTCACCTTCTTTTTGTCATTACACTAGCTACCTCTGCACACTCTGTGTTTGAGTTCGATGTAAACAGATATGGACAGACATGTGTCTCTGTTTGTGTATGCATGGTTTTGGCGCTCCGCTCTCTTCAAAGGCCGGTGTGTGTGTTCATAAAGTGTCCCAGCACAGCAGCATGTGGGCTCTTGTATCTCATTTGAAAAGCAGTGTAATCACTTCAGCAGCTGTTGGGAACACAAGACCAGAAAATATCACTTCTGCAGTCTGGTGTCAGTTTCAGTGCGTGAACGTTTGATGTGTCAGTGAAACAGTTTGTTTGTGTCTTCATTCAGTTACTCGTGCAATAAGTGCGTCTAACACAGAGGTGGGAACATGAACGCACTCTGGTTCCTAATGTGTTTGCTGACAGTGGAAATTTAGCTTGGATTGAATCATTAAAGGCTCATTTTGTCAGCTGTGAGTAGGTGACTACACCAGTCTTTGGAGCTCTGCCTTTGTTTCAAAGCTCAACCCTCAGAGATCAGCTGAGTAGCTATAAACACACGATTCCTAATATTTTCACCCCTGTCCAGCCATCGACTGATTCCTCCTGCTGTTCTCAGCATCAGGTTTCATGTAATCACTCAGGTATGACCTCACACTGACCCTTTTCTCCAGGAGTGGAACATTCCCACTGGTCCTGCTCAGTTTGGGTGTCGAGGGTTCGGTTTTCCTCAGCTTTGTCACAAGGCAAAGGAATATGTGTCTGACAGAACTACAGCAGCAACTTTATGCTCACGTGGAACCATTTTGGTAACTTTTATATTTATTTGGCAAATTCTGGTCAGTTTCTCAAACAGCTGCAGAGCGCCAAGTCAACTGAACACGACTCAGCTGTCCATCCACACCTGAAGGAGACGGGCACTCTTTCCACGATGGAAATCACACTGTGACCTTTCACAGATGGACATGATGAAAATCACACTGTGACCTTTCACAGATGGACATGATGATCATAATGAATCTATCCGGTCAACACCTCCACTCTGCAGGCTTTTAGCATCTTTGAGGGCCTTGTTTTGGTTTAATATC